GCCAAAGGAAATAATCAAAGTGATCGAGTTACATGCTTCGCTGTGTACGTAGATTCGGTCACAAAAGAGAAAAGAGAAACCGCTCGGAAAACTAAAAGTGCAACTCGAGTGCACTGGAAAGCATTCGCCCTCGTCTTAACGAGATTCCTCCCTCGTATAATTTAATATTAATCGAAAAAAAAAAAAAGAAAAAAAGAAAGAAAAAAGGACGAGGGGAAAGAAAGTGTACACCTGCGAATCGATCTCCCTGCTGTAGGCGAGAAATAGGACAGAAGGATCTAATCTCTATGGCACGATTGTTATATCCTATTCTCCTCACGAAATAATTATCACGAATTAACGAGGACGCTAATCGATAGGCCGAAACTTGAAACTACGAACGAACGATAGAACGTACGTACGTACGTACATACATTAGACGACTTTATCACAACCGGATCTCGTTAATTGTAAACAATTGATTTTTTACGTCTCGATCGAGTATTATCATCGTACGTGGAAGCTACACGTGGAAAATTTTAAACGATTCGATCCGTCGTGATTCCGTCGTAGCTTATACTTATCACTCAAGCACAAGCAAAAAAGAAAAAAAAAAGAAAGAGAGAGAGAGAGAGAGAGAGAGAGAGAGAGAGAGAGAGAGAGAGAAAGAGAAATAGAAGAAGAAAGAAGGAAAAGGAAAAAAAATGGGCGACGTAACGAGGTCGTTGAGAGAAGTTTTTTGTGAAAGAAAAGCAAAAAAGAAAAAGTCGTTAGGTAAAATGGCTGGATAAAATATCGTAGAGAATTAAAAATGAAATGGTAGTATTTGAATCGTTCCTTACTCTTTGTAAATACATCAAACAAAAGGAATGTCGTTCGATTCAGATAGAGGAATGTTCGCAACACGTGCTACACACCGACGAGTCAGCGAACCATACCATGCGATTTGACACAATTCTACATTGTAAGTTGACAAGTCGAACACTTGGCTTTGTGCTAAACTTATTAGATGATCAATGTATCGCGCTTACACAGATCTTACGTAAATACGTACACTACGTATATATGTATAATATATATATATATATATATATCGTATCATCTAAAACGAATGAACGAACGTACGTAAGTAAATTATTTTACGAAAAAGTATAACAAAATAAAAATAATAAGAAAAAGAAATAAACGAATTACCCCTTGTTCGTTCGAAAGATCCCTTGGAACGTAAAACGAGAGGCCCGAAAGAGATAAGCAATCGTCGACGTTTACGATCTCTAAAGACGCCCTTTTCTCATCTCTTCTGTTCCTCCGCACCTCGCTTTAGCGTTTTACTCCCGTAATTCGCATAGTATCTTCTACAAAGAGAGAGAGAGAGAGAGAGAGAGAGAGAGAGAAAGGAAGAACGTAAGGACAGCTCCTTTCGCAGCTTCCGCGTACCGATGGGAAAACGCGTTAACTCGCGTCTGCTTTCGAAACTTAATTGCCACTCAAAGTTGAGAGAGAGAGAGAGAGAGAGAGAGAGAAAGAGAAAGAGAGATGATAGAGGGTAGAAGGAAATAAAGAGAAGGGTAGAAGATAAGGAGAGAACGTGTAACGTACGAAGCGAAGACAATATAAAAAAAATAAAAAAATAAAAAAAAAAAATACAAGAGAAAAAAAGAAAAAGAGAAATAATAAGCGACGGAGACAAAGTTCTTCCGCAAGTCGTTAGTCTCCGTACATTTTTCTTTCTCTTTCCATTCCTCCCAACTATTTCCCCGGCTATTTTCTTTCTAATTAACATTCATCCATCCATTCATCTGTATTTTTAGTTCCTACTTTTCTTTTCCCTTCGTAAAACTCGATTTTCTTCGACGATCGAGAGAAAGAAAGAAAGAGAGAGAGAGAGACAGAGAGAGAGAGAGAGAGAGAGAGAGAGAGAGAGAGAGAGAACAGATAAATCCGTAATAAACTCGTTTTCCCTCGTAGTCGTATTATTACATGCCATATTGTCGGCCCTCGTATTCTCTCCCCACCCCTAGCCATCTCATCCAAAGGAACATCCTTTCGTATAGACCGCAAAAGAATGGCGACGACCAAGTCGAAATTCGCAAGGACGTTACAAATTGCACGTACCAAAGTTCATGAACGAAACGTATAGGATTCTTAACGTTTTCCATAATCTATTTATCTAAATGATTTTCGATTTATATGTGTTACCTATTTACATAGCATACGTACAGAGTTAGATATAACCAAAAGTATAAGTTAAGCATTAAGCAATCCGCTTATGTTACATATCGATGGATAGAAAAAAAGAGAATAAAAGAAGGTCGGTTGGTCGATCGTGAAAGAAGGTTTATGGGAGATGGGGGGACCTGAGGTCGGGCGGGGCGTGGGGTATCGATACGAGGCGCAACTTCGTAACGGGAATTCGTATTTCCCTGGTGGCTTCTTTATAAGAGCCAATATTTATCTCCGTTCTTTAATGCCAGCGCCAAACGTTGCCAAAATCAACATTCGAATTGGTTTGGTCGCGAGC